TTTCCTCCCCTGCATCCCTCTCTTGTTCCCTCCATCCCCCCTCTCTCTCCCCTTCCCTCCATCCCCCATTCTCTCCTCCGCTCCATTCCCCTGTCTCTGTCCATCCACCCCAATCATCCCCTTCATCCCTCTCCCTCTCCTTCCCAGCTTCCGCCCCCATTCTTCTCTCTCCTTTCCTCCATCACTTTCCATCTCCTTCCTTCACTCTCTCTTTCCCTTCTCTCTCGCTCTCCATTGCCACCTCCCTTTGTCCTTCAATCTCTCCATCCCTGTCACCTTCCTTCAGTCCATTCCTTGCCCGCTTGCTTCCATCCATCTGCCTCTCCCTCAATCTCTGTCTATTCCTCCATCCCTCCTTCCTCCTCTCCTTCCTTCTCTCTCTCTCCACCCCTTCCCTGTTTTGCCTCTCTCACGCTTCTCAGCCTCTCTCCCATTTTCCAGGGACAAGCAGACACCACCCCTTGCTCGATTGACACTCTAACACCCCCTCCACCACCTTCAACACTCCCTCCCTCCACCACCAAAGTAGCTGGGCTCATTAGGAATGCTCGGCTGAGCTCCAACTCTCACCCCACCACCGATGCACAGCCGCAGCAGTGTGTACCGTCTACAGGACATGCTGCAGTGACTCACCACTTTCCAAACCCACCACCCTCTACCCCCTGAGGGGGCAACAGATGTGGGGGGAGACACCACCCCCAGCAAGTTCCCCGCCGAGAACCCCCACCCCAACACCATCCTGACTTGGAACGATGTTGGCCATTCCTTCAGTGTCGCTGGAGTCAGAATCCTGGAACTCCCTCCCTAATGGGGGGCACTGTGCCCCTACACTGCACGCTGAGGGAGGGTCAGCGTGAGGGAGTGGGCACTGTCGGAGGTTCAGCGCCGAGGGACTGGGCGCTGAGGGAGGGTCAGCGTGAGGGAGTGGGCACTGTCGGAGGTTCAGCGCCGAGGGAGTGGGCGCTGAGGGAGGGTCAGCGCCGAGGGAGCGGGCGCTGAGGGAGGGTCAGCGCCGAGGGAGTGGGCTCTGAGGGACGGTCAGCACCGAGGGAGCGGGCGCTGAGGCAGGGTCAGTGCAGAGGGAGGGTCAGCGCTGAGGGAGTGG